AGTAGGGTTTACAATTTGTATGCACTCTTGTTTTATAGTTTACATAATATGGACAGCTGTATTCAGTTGAATTAGTATTGTAGCTAATTGTAATTCAATAATTTTGACAGTGAACAATATACACTTGAATTGTACTTATCTGTCTCAGCTAATCCATCATACGAGAGTATTTTAGAGAGTATGCTTACGCTGAAGTTTAACTTTTACCTAAAGAAATATTTAGTTTAGTAGCCTACAAGAAATAAAGCACACTCTTTACATACATAAATAATCATATTTTTCATGATTCTTTCTAAATGAATTGCATTGGAATTTGACATAAAATTGTTTAACTCATTGATGGTTTGGATAAAATAAATCCTCTGCTTTAGTAAACACAACTTTTAGAGCAAGTTAATGATTAACACACCCCCCCCCCCCCCCCTAAGGGAACAAAATGTATTTAAAAATTAGGGGTAGAATATGGTTGTAATTTTGGGAATAGATAATTTTGGAGCTTACAATATTATTGGTAGACCAGTATTGCAGGGAACGTTCGTTAAATGTAGCTGAGGAAACTAATTTGGTAACTAAAAGTTCACTGGACTTAAGTTATGGAGTTTTCGATCGGAAAATTGCAGAAATAGATTTGATCAACTTAAGCAAGATCATAAAAGTGTATCTTATTTTTGTTTTTGGTTGCATAAGTTTACATTACAGAATTGACATTATTTCAGCAACCAAATGTCTATGGATTGTAATAAAAATCAATATTGTTTTAATGATCAAACTAAAATAAACGACAACCGAGCAAGGCTCGGTACCCCGGTACTGTTTATAACTTAAAACAAAAATAATGTAAAAAACACAAATTTGATGATTTTTTGGGTTCATGTTATTTTTCTTTTTTTCTTGTTAGCATTTTTAAATGAGATGTCGAGAGTGATACTATAACACTTTTTGGGAAAGCAGTTCAAGCCGTTATATAATACTTTGTGTAGGAGTGCCGAGAATCGAAGCTGTCCCTCCCGCACCGAAATAACCATTAAACCATTAAAAGTTTAATATGTAATCGGTTACTAAATTTTCCTAGCTAATGCATGTTGTATAAGTAGTGAAGTTGGTTGCACACCTTTATTCACTATGACAAACCACTAGTTTCTCTTTAAGCGTGGTGTGGGACATACACAAACATCATCTCTCTGTTCACACAAAGAAAAGCTTTTGTTGATGGAAATGCAGACTTCCTTTAAACAAGGATTTGCTTGCTTGTATCTTAAGGTAAAGAAATTTTTTTTAACCAAAACCATCAGATTTGTAAAAAAAAAACTTCTGTAATATTCATGTTGTATAAATGCTCAAATTACTAAAGTAAAATCTTAATATACGAGTAGTAGAAAAAAATAAATTTCTCTGACAATGTTTTAAATCATTGTGTGTCAGAGATAAGCTGATAACTCATGGTCAGGCTATTTCCAACTTTCTCAATGTAAAGTTTGCAAACACCTCTAAGGACATTAATTGCATACCTTGTTTAGATACTGCATCCAAGTTAGTGAATAATTTTATGATTAATCAAAGAATTAATTTCAAATTCAGACATGTATCTGTATCAGAAATTAAAACTAGGATAAAAAAATAGAAAAAAAAATCAGTAGGATGGGATGGGATTTCAGTTGAAATAATAAAAAATATTATGAACTTTATAGCGGAGCCACTTTGTCTGATTTTAAATCAATGTTTTGATGAAGGAATTTTTCCATACCAATTTAAAAAATGCTGAACTGAAACCACTAGTCAAAAAAGGTTCAGTAGAAAACCCAGAAAACTATCGTCCGGTGTCAATTTTACCATCTCTATCAAAAGTTTTTGAAAAAATAGCATATGAACAAATGTACTCTTTTTTTAAAAACGGATAATCAATTTGGCTTTAGATTAGAAAAAAACAGAATATCAGCTGTCTCTGATTTCATGAATCAAGTGTCGGAAGGCTTGGATGGATCTCAGAGTACTGCAGCAGTTGTAAAAACCTGCTCAGTCCCCAAATGACGATGACAGCTGCCATGGCCAGCAAAATGTAACTTTCAGCTACCAATTAACGTATGTAAAACAGCTTAAAACATCATAGTGTAGTGAAAAATCTGTTACGCCACTGTCAAAAGCCTTAAGTATTGTACAGAATTATACAAACTTGAAATATGTAGGAGTGTAGGGTAGCTGAGTGGTTATAGTGCTCGCCTAATAATCATAAGGTTGCCGGTTTCATCCTAAGTAAAGTTAGTAGCTTTTTGAAGGTTCAAAACTGGACCCAGGTGTTCCTGTTCTGAGGTTAATTCAAACATATCTCCAAAGCAGAAAACAGATGGTTAGCTTTAATAATATGAATTCCGAATACCTAGATGTTACAGTAGGGGTACCACAAGGCTCTGTCCTTGGTCCTTTTTTGTTTTTAGTTTTTGTTAACGATTTTAGCTCTAATGTCTCTACTTCTTCTGTGTTGTACAATCTGATATAGATTTGAGGGGTGTTCAGAACAAACTTAACATAGCCTTGATGGAGTCAACATCATGGTTCTCTGCAAATATGTTGGCTGTGAATGAAGGTGAAACAGAGCGCTTAATTTTTACACTAAGGAACCATGGTGATTTAGATTTAGATAATGACTTGTTCAAGCCTGTGAAACTGCTGGGTATCTGGACAGTAAACTCTGTTGGGACGAACATGTACACAACTTGGGCAAAAAACTTCTTCGTGTTACCTGTCTTTTAAGAAAACTTAAAACTTGTGTTAATTCTGATGTTCTTTTTATGGTTTATTTTGGTTTGTTTCATACCCATCTTCTTTATGGTATAAGACTGTGGGGCAATTCACCATCAGCGAAAAAAGTGTTTGTTTGGAAAAAAAACACAATTAGGGTCATCTGTGGCCTGAATGAAAATGATTCATGCAGAACAGTATTTCCTGAACTTAGCATATTTACTCAACCTAGTCTATTTATTTACTATAATCTTGTCTTTGTTAAAAACAACACCCATATTTTTCAAAAAACCTCTTCTATTCATTCTCACAACACCAGACAAAAAGTTGACATTGTTAGACCTAGTATTAGACTTGATAAGTATTATAAGAGCCATAGTTACCATCAAATTTTAATCTATATATCTATTACTTATTTAATACGCAAGAAGGATTTTTGTGACAATTACTCCTCCGAAACTACTGAACCGATTATCATGTTTTTGGTGTCATTGAAAAGAGCGTAACGTGAAGTTGTGCAGGAAACTTTCTTTTTAGGGAAATAATGAGAGAGTGAGGCCATGGAGCCCTTTAAAGTTTCGTATTTCTGCATAAGATTAACATTGGAAACAAAGATTGTTATGAAACTCCAGCTGTTGTCACAAATCAAAAGTGAGAAGAAGAGCATATGTTAATTGTAAACAGTCAATAAGTTTGCTACAAACTTGCTGACTTGGTTGAAATTCGTTTTAAAATAACGCCTGTAATACTTAGCAATTGCTCGAATTCGAGCAACAGGGACACTAGTACTTATTTAATACGCAAGCAGGTTTTTTGTGACAATTACTCCTCCGAAACTACTGAACCGATTGAGATGTTTTTGGTGTCATTGGAAAGAGCGTAACGTGAAGTTGTGCAGGAAACTTTCTTTTTAGGGAAATAATTAGAGAGTGAGGCCCTGGAGCCCTTTAAAGTTTTGTATTTCTCCATAAGATTAACATGGGAACCACAATTGTTATGAAACTCCAGCTGTTGTCAGAAATTAAAAGTGAGAAGAAGAACATATGTTAATTGTACACAGTCAATAAGTTTGCTAATTTAACAGTTTGCTACAAACATTTACTGACTTGGTTGAAATGAAATATTTACTATTTGAATTTGGGTTTGCGTAAATATTACATTGGAAAAAAAAGCAAGAGAGCCAAGATAATTTGATATAGAAAAAGAAAACTAAATGAACACTGTGCTGCATTTTTTAATTTTTTAGTAATCATTGAAAGAGCCGTTTTGCAAACTATGGAAAAAAGAAAAAAATAGAACATCACCAAGGAGAAGAAAAAGAAACAATAATTTTTTTTATATTTATAATCGTTATTATGGACAACCTAATGCGGCTATGAGTAAGGCTATTTGTAGAAAACACTAAAAACCAGATCAGCTTTTGAAAAATGATAAGATATTTACAAGAAATTTTGATTATATCGGTCTGTTATGTGCATCTTCAGTATTTCCATAATCTTTGAGTCGAATCTTATAAAGTCATAAGAAATTGTGACTGTTATTCGTTTTAAAATAACTACTTAGCAATTGCTCGAATTCGAGCAACATGGACACTAGTTTATAATAAACTGCCAACCAACGTTAAAATGTTACCACCTAAGAAATTTACCAATGTTATTAGCAAGTGGCTTAAAGTTAAGGCATTTTATACCACTGAAGAGTACCTGAGCTGTGACACTCAAGACATTATCTATTGATTTGTGTTAATACTTTGACGACACCTATTGTATACTGTAGGTATATTTAATGGTGAATAAATTCTTGATTCTTAATTCATTGGTCTTTGAATTAATGATCCTGGCTAATGAAACAGCTGATCTTAGTCAGTATGAAAGCTATATAGATCATAACACTTAATTCCACTCATATTTTTGCTAAAATTTGATCAAATATATAAATAGGTGGTGTCGACATCTCAATTGGTAATTAATAATTTTTTTACAATTCCATCTCCTACTTATCATAGGTTTCTAGAATGACGTTGAATTCTGCAAGAAAAGCCAATATTCAGTTTAGGTTAGAAATGCAAATTTTCTCCAACACAAAGGAATCACACAACACCATTTATAATTCTTTGCATCATTAAACCAGGTGCAAATTCTCGTTGTTGCCGATTCTTAAGACAAGTACCAGTACCGAGAACGGAATTAATTCTATATCCAGCATAACTTTGAGAATCTTGCAATTAATTAATTTAGGGATGCATTTTATAAATGGGTGGTTACCTGTCCATTCCGAGAGTGCATGTCTGGAGGCAACACTCCAGTCATTGGCGGTGGAGGCTGTGTCATGTGGTGGTAGAGGAAATGCTCTGAGCCGGGCTGAAAATACAACACACTAATCAAGCAAACATTGCTTAAGAATTTTAACAAACAACAAGTTAAATCCATCCTATGATTAGGGGTATGTAAATAGGGGTTTTTGGTTTTAATTGTAGTACTTCACAATATTTTTTAAGCAACTATTAAAATTTTTGGGACAAAATTGCCGGCCAAATAATATGACAATGATTATGTCTACAAGACCGCAGAAGAAGTATAAGATTTTGCAGCGATCACATTAAACAATGACGATTTAGCCCGCCATCACTGCTTCTGCCTTATTTAACAACGATTCTTATTACTTTGGTTTTAGTTTCTTTTTTATTCTTTATGTAACCAATTCGGATTGTTGGAGTTCAACTGTATTGAAAAAAATGGATGAGAAATTGTTCTCTTTTTAAATTAATTTGATTTAATCATACAGTAGTAGTAGTAGGGAAAAGCCGGTTCTGGATCAACCCCGACAGACCAGGGATTCTCATCTGTTTACTCTTCCACTCATCGAAAAGTTGTTTCTGCACCAACCTCCAGTAGACTAGAGATTTGCCCATTTTCAAGTTCAGCTGTCTCGTGGTGGCATGTAGTATATATATGTCTGTCCTACTTCGGGATCCAATATGGGCTCTTATGGGAGTCAAAATCGGGAGGTAACGAAGACTGATTACAACTTTTACCAGTAGTATATATATCTGCGTCCTACTGGGGGATCCAATATGGGCTCTTATGGGAATACCTCCCCACAAAAACCGGTTGTTTCCTCCAACCCTACACATGGAGTATGTATGTTTGTCCTGTGCTGGGGTTTAATATAGACCTTATGGAGACAAATTCAACCCTTGCCTCATCACTCTGGGACAAAAATAATATTTTTTGAAGTTTTTTTATTTTCTTACAGTGATCTCCTAGAAATTGTTTACAGTTGCCTAATGATGTTTCTTGAAATGTCATAACTGAATCCAGTTTCAGAGACCACGACTACGTATGCTGTTGTTCCGGCATCGGCTTGCGCGGTCGCGATAGCATTTACGAAATCTAACTCAATCTGGATGTCACTTCTTGAGCGATCTGTGCTCATTGGGTGGAGATGAGTGTCTATCACCAACAGTGGATAGTCATTCTTGAACTCTGAAGGAGATACAAACACATTGGTGTCTCCAAAGTTCACCAGACGATATCTGACCAACTGTTCGTACAATAGTCTCCATTTGCCTTCAGTGATGTGTATGTTCTGCATCTCTTGAGGATAACGTTCTCCGTTGATTTTCACTGCGACATTTTTTATGTTGCAACTATCAAAACGGGAGGGAATTTTCTTCTGGTCATTCCAACGGCTAGTTTGCAACCCCACAATGACAAATTTTGGGTTGTATACATTTCTATAAACGTTTGTGATATCGAAGTTGAACGAGGCCCCGAAAACACCTTTTTTCTCAATACACTGCCACTGGTAATAGTTGTATACCAATTTACTATGATCACTCAAACGAGTCAACCCATCGATCAATTGAATCTTGCTGGTGGCTGTATACTCGACTAACGGAACTCGAAGAACGAAAGATTTGATTTCGACTTTTCCATCCTCTGGTATCGTGTCTGTTGCGGCTGATCCTTTCCAAATGAATAGTGCATCGTTATCTTCAGCACGGGTGAATACGACTTCGAATCCGCCTTTGTACATAGGATACCGTAGATGATCGAAGAAGCCGAGACCGAGGTGTGCAAGGGTACCGATTACTTCAAAATTGCCTCCACCAGTGAACGTGGATATGAAACCACAGTTTCCTAAAGAGTTCTTGTTCGAACTGGAATAGTTGAGGATGCCCTTGACCGTGCTTGTGACACCAGGATAGTCGACAGTGTCGATTGTGGTGTTGTGTTTTTTGAGTTCGATTCGAGTAAACAGAAACGGTACGAAATTGTCGATGAGTTTAATGTTTGTTTTATCGGCATAAGCAGCCCCGTCAGATTTCTTGACGACTTTACCACAAATGTGAAATTGTATTCCTGAATCGTAAAACGTGTCACCGTGATCGAGTTTAAAAACCGTGTAATTATTTGGAGTGTTGAAATTGAGTTCAGACACCGGCATGACAGAGCGGTATTCGCTCTTCACCACACCGCTTGAAAACTGATTGTATGTAGCATCCATTTGTGTTGGTTACTTAATAAAGGTCGAAAAAAATATACTATGGTAACATTACGATTTTACTCTTTAGGCCTCATGCTCAGTAGCGAACTCAAGAGCCGTGTATTAAATCCGTGATTACGTTCGTGTTCTTCAAGGAATTCCTTGGACACGTTTTGATACTTTATGATGTAGTACCAATCTACGTTGCCTGCAAAATCGTGTATGAATGATTCAGACAGTGTTTGATATTTGCTGACCACATACCAGCACTCGTTAAAGTTGATAGCCATTTCCCGGAGGAAGCTCTCATCGAATTTTGTCCTCTTCAGTACGGCATACCAGTTTACGCGATGGAAATACATGCGTAACATGTCGATGCTGAAATCGTAGTTTTCGGATAGGAGACCCCAGTCGAGCTCCTTAGCGTACTTCATAACGAACTCGTCTGTGAGAACGCCCTTAGGCGCTTTCGCTTCCCGAGAAAGAATTGTCCATACGTTTTCCATGTTGTACTCTTTCTCTCACTTATATACATACAGACGTTCCTAGCCCGAGACCGAGTTTGCGCTTCATCCACATTGCACCAGTCGTACCGAGTGCGACAGCGCGTTCGTTTAGATCGGCGTCAGAAGACGTGACCCTATTCCAAGCAGCGTCTTGCAATTTCTTATCTGCCACCCATCGGTCTTCAGCACGTCTATGATCCCGATACCATATGTCATGTTTCTTGCACGCCTCGTCTAAGGGGTTAACTCCTTTGTCACCACGAGCCAGGCGATCAGATAGCTTCGTACCAGGTCCACAATAATTGTACGTATCGAGATTCCAACTACGTGGAGCATGCAGCTCAAACGGTAAACTGTTGATTAAGTTGTTCAACAACCCCGAACCTTGAATAGCGTGTTCAGGTAACGCTGACAGACAGCGTATGAGATACTTCAATCCGTTTGGTCGTTCGATTAGCTCCTGCATGCGGTCGTATATGAATTTCACGACTGACAGTTTCTCGTTGTGAAAGTTATTGTTTCCAGCAGCCTCCTCAGCGTGTATGAAATTGAGTCGACTGATCAATTCGTTTAAATCCTTTATGTACCGATATTCGATTGGTGTTTTGTCATCGTACCGTTTCAACCCAGACCCAACTGTCTCTGTGGGTGTTGATGTAGTTGGGGTTGCGGATTTATTCATCTCATCCCAAATGGGTTTGATCATCTGTTTCCACTTTTGACCCTGACTTGATTTCGGTCGTCTAGTCGAGGGATCGTTCTTTTGATACAACGAGTTGGATGTCAACAGAATTTCTTTGTATGAATTCCAATCGTCAGATGTGTACTCATCAGACTTAACAAAACCTTTATTCGTCAAGAGTTTCCAAAGACCTTCACTGCCGACAAAACTTTTACCTGACATCACTATATCATCGTAATTAAAGGTGATTGGTTCTGATCCAATTTTCAAGCGTTCACTCGTCACATCATAATAAATACCAAACTGTGAATCGCTTGCACGAGGTAAGTATCTTGCACCAACACTGCCCAAATTGATTACATTTGAGTCCACCAACTGTCTGATTGATTTGTTCTGAATGTTTTCAGTTTCCACTTCATCTTCGTTATCGAAGGGAATTTGTTTACGATCTGGTGTACTGTATACTCTTGGTCTAAAGCGAGCAACCATTTGATTGTATTTTTGTTTTTTCAACCACTCCTTTGTCTTTTGTTCTAATAGATCATCTTTTTCTTTTTTCTCTTTTATTGCATCGGTAATGGTTTGATATTTCTTTTCCCTTTCTCGTTGTTCCTCTCTTTCTAAAATGTGTACGTTAGCAAATTGTTGTTGAAGTCTATTTTTTACATTTTCTAGTTGCTTTGCCTTGGTGACAGTCAACGGTTGTTTTTGGACATCTCTTGTAATGATTGTGGTGGATGGACTTTTTGTTGGAGACGATACAACTGATATCTCTTTAAGTTTTTGTTCACGTTGTTTTTGCTCTTCCAATTCAGCGTCATGAAACTTTTTCATCAGGTTACTCTCGATAGCTTCAAGTCGCTTAGCAGCTTTTGCATCCATCATAACTTGTGTTCACTTATATTATACAACGTCAGAAAAAACGACATATATCGTTTCTAGTATAAAATTGACATATCGTCGAAAAACGACATTTCAATCAAAAAACGTGATATAACGTTTCTAGTATAAAAACGACATATCCATCAAAAAACGATATTTCATTCAAAAAACGTGATATAACGTTTCTAGTATAAAAACGACATATCCATCAAAAAACGATATTTCATTCAAAAAACGTGATATAACGTTTCTAGTATAAAAACGACATTTCAATCAAAAAACGTTATATATCATTTCTAGCTTAAGATGTGACATTTCACATTGACGTTGTAAATATCGTTTTCTTCAGCATGCATTTATATTTTCCAGAGTGTGCTTTTTTAGTGGTATTGATGGTTACAAATCCATGTTGTTCCTGCCAACACCGACGACAGAGCTTTTCAAACTCAGATAACGACATATCGGAACCGACAAAATCCTCATGAATACGTGTCATGTAATGCTTGTTTTGTTGAAACACACACAGCAGATTTAGGTTGTTACGGATTACTTGCATATCGACACGACCATAGCTCTGACTCAGGTATATACATGATATATTTTTGTGACGACCTCTGATGTAATAGTCTTTGATTTTTGATTGCTCATCAAGTAAACAGTCATCAAACACAACCAGTGAATTCGGTTTGCATTCATCCAATGGAACCAAGTCGGAACAATCAGAGAAGAAGAACGCAATTTTGCAGCCGAGGTTTTTCTGCACTCTTTCATAGTGTTTTTGTAAATCATGGTACGCTGGTTG